TTTTTATTCTCTGAAGAAGTGGCTTACACTAAGTCACGAAACGTCAGAAGATTTAATTTTTCTATTCATTGGGATATTACAAATATATTATATTTATTTATAACAATCTACCCAATGCTCAATTTATTCGAAATTATCAAGTCAAACCTTGGTAATGATAACTACAAAAATAGAGAAGAGTTTATATCAGTTCTTGTAAAACAATACAAGTAGGAAGAACATGTGACTTATGGTTTTTTTCCATTTATTTAGAGAAAGTACAAGATGAAAAAACGTATGATGTTAGCAATAAAATAATGATGAATTGAAGTAGAAAAAAGTAGGAACGAAGACTATTTTCGGAAATAAGCGAAAATAATCACAATGTATCTTTTCACGATTCATGAAAGATTAACATATATATGCCGTGGAGCTACATCTTGAAGCTAGTCACTAGTGAGCACATGACTGGTAATAGTATAAGGGATTTGTGGAGATTGTAATATTTTTATAGTTGAAATCACGAGTCAATCTAAGTTATACCTTAATTGAAAACCTAGAAGCATTAGACAGCCGTTTCGTGTGGAATCATGAATACGCACTCTTGACGAGTCGCATACGAGGACGAAACAGTCGTCCACTACTTCCAGGTTTTTAGAGAAAGTTTAGCTTAGATCAATTCGTAATTTCAATTATGAAAATACTACACTATGCACAAATCTCCCATACTGACAATAAAGAATCAATTACTAAGAAGTGAACATGATATTTCTCCATGTTCATCACAAACATAATTACAAAAACTTGATTAATCAGAATAAAGTTCCATGAAATTTAACATTTAATAGTAATATTTCATTATATCTTACAATTAGTAAATGAAAATTCTTCTATTATTCATGAATTGAAAGCATAGAATGTAATAAAATTATTTCCATTAATTTTTATTTAAATTAATTAATAAATAAGTTTTAATGAATTATTGGCAACTCATCTTTTTTTACTTATACTTTCAGTGGTTGAGATCATGAGTCAGTTGAAGCTAGACCACCATGGAAAACCTGGAAATACTGGACGGCCGTTTCGTCCTATTGTGGGACTCCTCAGCATTGTACATCCACGATCCCGCCTTGCTAGATTCGAACCCAGGACCTATCAGTCTCGCGCGCGAGCGCTTAACCGCTAGACCACTGAGTCGGCCCCCAACGATGTTAATATCAGATTGAATTCCTTTACTTATCTTAATGAATACGATAACTTCTAAAATATTAGTATTTAAGCTAGGTAATATAATTTTTAAATACTTAAATTTTACTGAGATTGGTTTAATTGGTATGCAGTATTAGTAATAACATTATCTCAGCTAAGGTACAACTGAAAATCAAAGAGGATTGAACACTTAATCCTCTTGATATAGGACTGTTCAACAATCTATGCAAACAACTTCACTAACGGTCTAAACCAGATGTTGCAACAAACGCTTAATCATTAGAACAACTAAGTCAGCATCCAATGGTACGATTTCAACTACAATCAAGCTTGGTATATATGACGATTATCCAATGATATTTATGACAGCTATTTGAGTTTTGTTGAATACTTAGTAGACAACTGGTGATTTTAAGTTCTTGATTAACGACTAGTAAAGTCTCTCTTTTTATCCATCTTTTTTAATGAACGTTGTCATTAGTCTTAGCTAACTTTTAGAAATTTATTTTTTTTCCTTATAATTTATTAGTTGCATTATTCGGAACTTGGTTTCTTTTACTTATAATCAGGGAAAAACATTTTTTGTTGTCCAGTAACATTATATTGTGTCCGACATGGATGTATTTACCTGACTTGTATTTTTTTAATATATTGTTAAGAGTACATATTCTTTCACTAAAACATCTAACATTGATCTGAAGATAATGTTAGTCCTGATTATTCCGTTGTACAAATATCATACACATGAAATCACATTCTACATTTAATTTTCTAATATAGTCGTTCCATCATCCATTTGATTTATTTTTTAATTCTTCCGTCAATCAAATTGTTGTACAGCACATATTTGAAAGTTTTTTTTCTCTCTGATACTCAGTGTACCCTAACAATCGTAAGAAATAATAATATGAATGTGATTAGAACTAAGCGATTAAGTTTCCTGGTATAAAACGATCTGATTATTGATTAATGACTTGAATAGTAATTTATATCTTATGAAGAGAAAGTGAAATTTATTTTGATTTATATTACAGACAGATCTAGTGAATAAATGAAAAGAAACACATCTAGTTTTAGAGATTATTTCATGACACATCCTAACAACCCAAATACATTATGCACTGAATTAGTTTATGATGGAGAACTCTTGCACATACTAAAAAAAGGCTTGTCAATATTCAGCATTACAAAATAACTTGATAAATATTTATGTACATACTACAATAGGTATGAAATACTATGTCCATTCTATATTCATTTTCACTGACACGCAAAATGAAGCGGGAAGAAGAATTACAATCTAAATGAGATATAATATTAATGAAATGTATAAAAGGAGAACCAATTGCATAAAATTTCTGAATGATATATCTACACAAAGCTTAACATTTTAAATATTAAACTGGTCGGTTAATTTGATATACGGAAATAAATAGTGATCTTCAGTGAACTGAACTGAAAAGTAGCCAGTAAATTTATGATGATTTATCTGTTATAAGATTGATAACTAAACTTTTACTGAGGTTTTCAAGTTACAGACAAATCATGGTATACATGTTCTTGTATAGAATTGTTCTTCAACTATTATAACAAATGAATTCAAAGAATTATAAATTATTTTCTGAATTCTTATCATTCTAACTTGAATTACTAACATAATTCCCTATGTAGATTAAAATTAGGAGCCCAACAATGATCTGTTTATGAGTTAAAACCATTGCTAATAGGTTTTGATTATTTTTGAAAATGTTTGAAATGTATGACCATATTAAAATGACTGAAATACTTGTGTCCAGTTCATTTGTTTGGCGATAGTCATAAATACTTGATAAAAACTTCCTTTAGGATTGATATACTGGCTTAAAACATAAATTAAAGAGTTTCATCGTTCATAAGAGGATTTGCCATTGTTGGTGTATTGAATGATCCCTGAAGTCAAACTAACTGAAATTTAAAAGTCGAATGTGTATGTGACATCTTGTCACTAAAAAGATAACTTACTTCCATGTCTAAAACGAATATAAATTTGTAGTGCGCGTAAATGTCCCACAATTCTCTTGAATGGGTGAAGGAGTTCAACCTCTCTCCTGAAGTCCTCTCAAACAGTCTCATGCTCAAAATGTTTTCATGGAGGGTCCTACACACTATCTCCACATAACGTGGATATTCCCAATAAAAGAAGATAAGAGTACAGTGCATCCACTGATGCAGTTGAAGAAATAATGATTACTAAACAGTAATGCATGACATTCAAGATCATTAGAAGGTTTATTAAATGGCTAACACTGCATTGGGTCATTTATTGACTTTCTATTGCCCAATGGATTAAATCTTCAGGTCAAAGGTATAAGACGTTTTCCATTAAGAAAACTATTTGCTTCTGTTTCAATCCTTGTGCAATGTCAAAGCCAACACACAAATCATGTTGTCTAAAAAGCTCTAAAAGACAGTGACACAGTTGTTAAACGTACTTAAATATTGAATAAATATATAGATAATGTCAACTTGTAGTTTGAGACGATCATCCTCAAATTTACAATTTCCATCAACTATCTTAGTCGATTTAATATAAAATTGATTAATCTGAAACAGTAGTATAAGTTAGCTTTTCTTTATTAGTACTTTGTTAATTTCATAAAAGTATCTTTTTTGTTCTTTACAGTAAAGAGCAAGTTATCAGATATTCTTTTGTAAATTAAATACCGAATGATACAACTTCTACACTTTTCCAGTTGTATAATAATAAAGCTTTGTCTGTGTAAGGACAATTTCAGCAGTGCATCCAATCAATAATACTTATTCAGCTGACAAGACATTAGTAAACATATACATAGATAAAGAAAACTAGAAACTAGAAACTTCCATAATGAATATAATTTGATTAGTAGTATGAAGTGAAATACAGTAAAATTGAGTTATTGCTAGTTATCAGAAATTTCATTTCCTTTACTGAATCAGTAACACTTGTTATTCCAAACAATTATATATATATACTACTAAATAGAAGAAAAATGGGATTATTAATGTATTTATATGGTGAAAGTTATAAAATACACCGTTTTGTAACTAGACAAAACTCCATATATAGCTGTTCGAGGGTTACTGCCGCTCCCAAAACAAAGTAAAGAAAGAAGGTTGAACATGAGATCAGCATCCCCATCACGTACAAAACAAGATTGCTAAAAAAACACTAAACAGAATTGACAAATTCAACCATTTAAAGTCTGTCCTTCGAGTTCAAGGACCTTCATTCAAAATATTATGAATTCATACGACGGACTATAGTGCACAGTGGTGCAGGCAGCACAAATGACAGACACATTCTGAGTGAGGACCGGAGTCAGACAACAATCTCTACTCAATCCTTCCTCCTTCTTATGGTGGTCGACTGGATTATGAAAACTTCCATATCTGACGGGAAGAGTGAGATACAATGGACAGATTGAATGTAACTAGATGATTTGAACTTCATGGATGATCTAGCTCTACCACCCAATACACACCAACAAATGCAGAGCAAGACAACCAGTGTAGCAGCAGTCTTTGCATCACTAGGCCTTAACATACACGGATAACACCAACACAATCACACTTGGTGGAGAAACTCTCGAACAGGTGAATACATTCACGTGTCTGGAAAGCATCATCGATGAACAGATAGGATCTGGTGCAGATGTATATGTGAGGATTTACAATGTTAGGACAACATTCACACAGTTGAAGAATATATGGAACTCGAAACAACTGTCAACCAATATCAATGTCAAAATCTTCAATATGAACGTCAAGACAGATAGTTCCATTGTACGCAGCTCAATGTTGGAGAACTACTACAACCATCATCATCATCATCATCATCATCATCATCATCATCATCATCATCATCATCATCATCATCATCATCATCATCATCATCATCATCATCATCATCATCATCATCATCATCATCATCATCATCATCATCATCATCATCATCATCATCATCATCATCATCATCATCATCATCATCATCATCATCATCATCATCATCATCATCATCATCATCATCATCATCATCATCATCATCATCATCATCATCATCATCATCATCATCATCATCATCATCATCATCATCATCATCATCATCATCATCATCATCATCATCATCATCATCATCATCATCATCATCATCATCATCATCATCATCATCATCATCATCATCATCATCATCATCATCATCATCATCATCATCATCATCATCATCATCATCATCATCATCATCATCATCATCATCATCATCATCATCATCATCATCATCATCATCATCATCATCATCATCATCATCATCATCATCATCATCATCATCATCATCATCATCATCATCATCATCATCATCATCATCATCATCATCATCATCATCATCATCATCATCATCATCATCATCATCATCATCATCATCATCATCATCATCATCATCATCATCATCATCATCATCATCATCATCATCATCATCATCATCATCATCATCATCATCATCATCATCATCATCATCATCATCATCATCATCATCATCATCATCATCATCATCATCATCATCATCATCATCATCATCATCATCATCATCATCATCATCATCATCATCATCATCATCATCATCATCATCATCATCATCATCATCATCATCATCATCATCATCATCATCATCATCATCATCATCATCATCATCATCATCATCATCATCATCATCATCATCATCATCATCATCATCATCATCATCATCATCATCATCATCATCATCATCATCATCATCATCATCATCATCATCATCATCATCATCATCATCATCATCATCATCATCATCATCATCATCATCATCATCATCATCATCATCATCATCATCATCATCATCATCATCATCATCATCATCATCATCATCATCATCATCATCATCATCATCATCATCATCATCATCATCATCATCATCATCATCATCATCATCATCATCATCATCATCATCATCATCATCATCATCATCATCATCATCATCATCATCATCATCATCATCATCATCATCATCATCATCATCATCATCATCATCATCATCATCATCATCATCATCATCATCATCATCATCATCATCATCATCATCATCATCATCATCATCATCATCATCATCATCATCATCATCATCATCATCATCATCATCATCATCATCATCATCATCATCATCATCATCATCATCATCATCATCATCATCATCATCATCATCATCATCATCATCATCATCATCATCATCATCATCATCATCATCATCATCATCATCATCATCATCATCATCATCATCATCATCATCATCATCATCATCATCATCATCATCATCATCGAATCAGTACAAATATTTATAAACAATTGTCTATGTGAGATATTGAATTTCCGTTGATCGGATACCATCAATAATAGATTACTGTGTGAGAGAGAGAGAGAGAGCAGATCAGTTTCGAAATGAAGAGGAAACTAGGAAAGATGATGTAAGTGGATAGGACATATATTGAGGAAATCACCAAACTACATCACGAGGTAGGTTGTAACTCGGAATCTTTAATGGGAATGGAAAAGTGGAAGACCAAAGAATATACTGCGTTGATAATTGGAAGCATATATGAAAAGGATGAATAGGAACTGGCAACTAGTTGAAAGGATTGCTCAGTACAGTGTTGGATGGCGAATTCCGATGGGCGTCTTATGCCACTTCATGAGGGTTAACAGACGTAAGCAAGTTAGTAATGTTGAGGTATATTAATTAACATATGAACCAAAACAAAACTTCTGTATGATATGAATTAGTCTGAATAGAAATTTAAGTCCTACGAATTCAAGCAAATATCCATGTTCTTATTCAGCAGTACCAAGTATATCACTTAGAATTGAAAGTAACTTATTTAGAGAACTAATATGTAAAGACAAAATTTATCTGATAAATTTCTGTTTTTTTTACCTGCATTAACTAAACTTTTTTCTAAAAAAAAGGCTAACTGTTTTAAATATTTACTTAAGCGTTTCCTTATTATTTTCATGCATAGTTACAATTCATGTAAATGTATGTTATTCGAAAGAAACATTCAGTCTAATTACATAAATGGTTATGTGAAATTTTACATGATTTACAGATAAAAGTCATATAATTAATCGAGACTCAAAGAGTATTGGCTAGGTTTATCGCCAAATTTTTGAACCCACCTTATCAACAGCACACACTTAACACAGTTAAATTTAGATTTCTTTTTAAAAAAAAAACATGGTCATTTTCATCCAAGTCCACTGGTCAAACAATGTATGAATATCAGTTCTTTTCTCATTCGTAACTCGATTAGCTTCACAGATCAAGGAAATCAGGAAATCCAGCTTGAAATATAATTATTATCAAGTGAAATGATTCTGGATAAAACATCTTTCCAGTGCTTTCTGATCATCGATAGTTTTTTAGCTGAGGTATGGTTAGTGATTAAAATTACCTTCAAAAGTATACAAGAAACTTCACAAATCCCTTAATTCTGTAACTTAGTTTTAATTTTGAATCAACTATAACACATCTCAAACTTTTCTTAATATTATTCTATACAATTTGATCGGATCAATGATATAAAATAACTATATCTTTATATTATTGAATAGAGTCTATTAGTAGTGATCGTATTATTTAATTTAGTAATTTAAATTATCTATTGAATAGTGACATTATTGAATGTACAACAGTAAATTTTATTTGTTTGCATTTCGTAACTGAGGTAGAATATTCTGCTATTCATAAAATGCATTCTGTTAAACATGATATAAGTGTATATTACCTGCATGTGACTACCTTTATGTAATTATTGTACATGTTCATATTGATTCCACACGTATACTAGTACTCATGTGATTGGTGTACTTCTTCTGTGTTCTTCATGTTGTTCAGCGTAACTAATTATGTAACTAGAAAATGTGTACATAACCTACACTAAATCAAAATGATAAACAGAACTAGACCTTATAATCTAAATGAATCCACCTGCTGAGAGTTTGCTAGATAGAAATGAAGTGATTCTCAATGATATACTTGAAAAGAAACGAATTAATTTGTGAGATTAATTACAAGATATACTATACAAGTTTGTCTTTAAATACAGATGTACTGAATTAAAAGACAACAATAATAACAATATAAATCCACTCAGTCAGTTACACTGTATACACTGAACAAGTTTCCACGAACTACATAACATTTATTGTATTCTTTCTTCCCGTACATATGTGAAATTTGACAGTTTGAACTGATATACTTCCGAAGAAGGTTCAGAGGTATATATTCTAGGTCTTATATTCAATCCATCTCAAATATTCAAGTTTTTCGACCAGTAGTTAGGTCAGTACTTAGTATAATTCAAACACGCAAGATGTATTCACGATAGATTGATCTCAGTTGATGTACCACTGAAAATCAGCAAACATTACACACATGATTCGTACCACTATGAGACTATTCAGTAGAGCGTGCAAATAACCTCAACACTGATCCAATACAATACACAACATTCACATCGCATATCAATCAATGAATTGTTTGAACTACTGCGTCAGCACTCAATGCTACAATCGAAATCTCAATCACTTTGACAATATCGTTTGATCGTTATCCAATGTAATTGGTGATGAGTGTTTCACATGTAACATATCTGAACTCGGTCAGTCACGAATTCTCATTGAGATTTTGAGAGAATCATGAAGTAAATCACTAGTGAGTTGACTGTGATAGTTAGAATGATGGAGTTTTGTGGATATCGATTTAATTGTTGGGTTGATAATTGCCATACTAGAAGGAAGTGTGAGTTGATTGTTGTATGGTTCTTTTTCTAATAGTACCTTAATTGAGATGATTGTGTGATGAATACAATCTGTAAATTAAAGCTATCTCCATGAGACCACTTCAACCAATTCAGATTAAAAAGAGTATAATTTATTCTGTGAAGGTGAACTGACAAATTGTCAATTCGGTGAGCTCGTTCTTTAAGCTAATGTTGTACACTAGAAGGTTGAAGAATACTAACCTTAAAGTTTCTATGAAAAACATTCTTTTGAGGAAGTCATGATACGTTCTTTTCAAGAAGTATGTTGCTTCGTCCTCTTTGAAATCGATGTTTATGTTAAGCGTTTTCTTTCGGTACAGAGGCTATCGATACTTCTGAATTTTTTTGGTTTCGTGCTTTTGTTAATGAATCTCGGACTTCATCCATTTTTAAAACAAACAATTTTCTTAGAAGGTTTAATTCCTTGATCATACCATTAAGGCTACAAATTCGTCCTATATGTATAATGAGATATGTAGTTAAATTCCTCTTTTACAATAATTCAAATTTATTAACATCAGTCAATCCATGATACTGGCCAAGTAATGATTAAGGACGTTTGATTACTTATTAATAATGGTTATGTTAAACCGAGTTGACTGGAGTTATAATTGTAAGCAAATAGGCTCTGTTGTATTGTAGTCATCATGAGATTTATAATATTCTATGGTAAAAAAAAGCTTACTGCCAAAGGACAGTAAAACAGAGAAAATCCTACAATTCACTAAGTTCTACTTCCAAATGTTCTACTGACTGATTTTGTTCATTGAAGAAATTTATTGTCTAACTAAAAACATATATGTCTTACCATTGATAATTATTAGAAAAACTCACCTGGTGTTGTTTTACTCGTATCTTCCTTTTGTTATTTAGACTGCAATTGATCGGTCTCACGTTGGCATATGTGCATCCTGTGCGGATTGCCTCAATATGGCCTTAAGTCACAAGCTTTTTAAGCAAAGATGGATAGTGGCTAGTAGTGGAATCCACGACGCGCGTTTCGTCCTATTTGGGACTCGTCAGCTGGATATACCTGCGTCCCAGAGTTGATGTTCACGCCGGGACTCGAACCCAGTACCGTTCGCTTCAAACTCTTCGCGATAGGATGAAACGCGCGTCCTGGATTCCACTGCTAGCCACTACCCACCTTTGCTTAATAGAGAAACTATTTCATTTTAAATATTTATTGTAATTATGAAATAATTTCATCATGAATAAAGAAAGCTACTGAAAACATGATAATAGTAAATTTATATTTTTCTTTTCAAATAATAAATCCAAGTTTTTAATGACGAAAATGATTAGATCTGTCAAGTTTTAGATTTCTTAGTCAATACTTTATTAATTTTCATTTATATTTAACCATTATTACTATATTATAGGACACATATCAATAAGAAATTAACTAATAAATTTGAACCGTAAAATTTATGAAAATGTCTTAAATAAGCTTAATAGTAATTATTATCTCAGTCCTTATCAGTAACTGCTTACATCTGTTAACCCTCATGAAGATGCATAGGCCTTCAGTGATCCGATATTTGTTTCCTATTAGATCGTATGATTAATTGTTATCGAAATATACATATCATCAATCCTCGTATAAAATCATCGAATTAACTCTAGTTAATGTATAACGGAATGTAATAAGTCAAATATGTGAACGGATGTTTGGATACGTATATCTTGTACACTCGTTGATCGGAACAGACAATTAAAGTCTCAATGAATGAACCGAAGAAGAGAGAGTGAAATGATACGGAGCGCAGTGGAGAAGTCATGTGAGCCAACTCCATTTGATCAAGCGTTAATCGATATTTATAGTCACACGGAAATAAGCTACAGACATGTGATGAGTAAGATAAGATTTACAAACACATAAGCTCACATAAAAAACAGTCAAGGTTGATAAGTAAATAATTGACAAGGTCAAAACGTGACTCAAGAACAATGAATAAATTGGCCTGTCCAAAAGCTAGAATAAGTTATATGGGCTTAACTTACTAACCAATACTACAAACCGCCCACCAGGATTCTCCATCCAACACTGTACTGAGCAATCTTATCAGCTAGTTGTCAGTTCCTATTCATCCTTTTCATATATGCTTCCAATTATCAACGCAGTAGAGCTAGATCATCGGTGAAGTTCAAATCATCTAGTTACATTCAATCTGTCCATTGTATCTCACTCTTCCCGTCAGATATGGAAGTTTTCATAATCCAGTCGACCACCATAAGAAGGAGGAAGGAGAGAGTAGAGATTGTTGTCTGACTCCGGTCCTCACTCAGAATGTGTCTGTCATTTGTGCTGCCTGCACCACTGTGCACTATAGTCCGTCGTATGAATTCATAATATTTTTGAATGAAGGTCCTTGAACTCGAAGGACAGACTTTAAATGGTTGAATTTGTCAATTCTGTTTAGTGTTTTTTTAGCAATCTTGTTTTGTACGTGATGGGGATGCTGATCTCATGTTCAACCTTCTTTCTTTACTTTGTTTTGGGAGCGGCAGTAACCCTAGAA